AGTAAAACCTCCAGGAAAGTTTTTGTTACTGAACACAAACAGAGGGTTTACCGGCCACACAGGAGGGCCAATATCTGGAAGGCCAGGCTATGTCAAGGGAAGAGGTTTATTATCCAAAGGCAGCCAGACAAGGAGATGGGAGTTAAAACTCAGAGCCACCTCCTTGAAGGGAAAAAGCTAAGGGGTTTTAGGCAGGGGTAGGGGAGCATGTAGCCCTGGGGGCTGAAGTTGTAATAGTCCTCTATGCAGACTCAACTGTCTTTCATATTTCTTCATGGATCTCGTGCAAATTCGGGGGAGTTCTATGTGTTGCATGCAGTGGATTATTAGCACGGGATGTCTCAAGTTTGCAATTGGTCATTTTAGCTTATCCAAGCTCCTGCATGCTTAGTCAGGCAGGAGTGCTGTTGGCAAGCTACTTTCTGATCAGTGGTCCTCTTGTTATTCTGCAAACTCAACTTAGAAACTTTGGTTACTTTGTTTCCCATGTTAACTTTGTGGGTACAAGGCAGGGTTTCACTCTAACCCAGGGAAATTGAACTCTTTCGTCCTCGGTTTCATTATGCCTTAATAATATATCTAAACTAGCCAAGAGTAATAACAAGTCCAAACCCTCCCTAAAAAGGCTTTAAAAAGTCCCAGAAGAATCAAACTGGAATTCAAGTAACTGCTTACTAGAAATACAGTGTAACACTCTGAAAAAAGAAAATTTGAGCACTCAACCACAATAGAAATGACAATATCCAGCATCCAATAAAAAACTATTATGCATGCTAAGAAGCAGAAAAATGACGATAACCAGGAGAAAAATCAATCGATAAAAACATACCTTTAAATTACTGAGAAGTTTAAAAGGGTATGATGTGAAATGCAGGCAGTCTTCTTTAAGTTCTTGCTCTAATAGCCTGGGTGTTCATACAAAGTTTTTACAGTTAAAAATGCACTACTCTTAAGACTGCTTAGATAAATATAAACACAAAGAGGGTCGTGTATGCAAAAATTCTCACCAAAGGAAGACATTCTTTGGCCATTTTACTTTACTTTCTTCTTGGTTTTTAATAACTTTCGTGTTTTTTTTTTTTCTTTTGCTGAGCAAGATTGGCCCTGAGCTAACATCGGTTGCCAATCTTCCTCTTTGCTTGAGGATGATTGTTGCTGAGCTAACATCTGTGCCAGTCGTCTTCTATGTATGTGGGATGCCAGCACAGTGTGGCTTGATGAGCAGTGTGTAGGTCCACACCCGGGATCTGAAACTGTGAACCCCACGCCACAGAAGTGAAGCATGGAAACTTAACCATTACCCCACTGGGCCGGGTCACTTTGGCCGTTTTAAATAAACCCAAAGCAATAGCTCAGCGAATATGAGTGTAGGCTATTATACAAAATCCCAGAGATAGTGAAGAATCAAGTGATGTAGGATCTTGTAGGGCTTAGTATGAGCTTTAGCTTTTATTCTGAATCAGAGAGAAAGCCATTGGAGGATTTTGCCCATTTATTGTGATACTTGTATTAGACTACAGTATTACACTACTATTAAAATAGGTCTATTTTAATTTCTTTATGTATTTAAAACTTAAGAGATTGGCCCAACCCAAGGCATTGATCCAACTCCAGGGACACTTTGATTCAGACACTCAACCGACATTGTTAGGAACTGATCTTTCCTTGGACCTCTCAGTTCTGCTCTTCTCTGTGAGCATTTGTCTCTTATAAGACTCATACAGTAGCATGAAGCCTGCTAATAGCAGCAGATTTATTCTCACAGCTCAACATCCTCACAAGCCCAACAGGAAGGAGAAAAGAGGGAGACACTCTTTCCTGGTCAGTGAAGCAAAAATGCTGAGATTAGCTTTGATTGAAAATGTCAGTCATTCATGTAATTGGTTTTATTTAGTCACAAGGCTATGTGACACAGGAACCAGTCACTCTCAGTGAGCTGATGTAATTCTGCCATTGCCCAGATCTAGGATAGCTGAGAGTATAGTCAGCATAAATTGGGAGTAAGGGAATGGTGGTTCCTTAGAGGAAATTCAGACCATGATTATCAGAACAAATGAGAATAAATGCTGTGTACCAAAAGCTATAAAATATAAATGAAGTATTGGAGAAAAAAGTAATAAGTGAGGAAGGGAAAATGGGCAAGGGACCTGACTAGACATTTCTACAAAGATGAAAAATGGCCAACAGATATAAGAAAAGGTGCTCAACATCCCTAATCATCAGAGATATGCAAATCAAAACCACAATGAAATATCACCTCATACCTGCTTGGGTGGCTATTATCCAAAAGAGAAGGGCCGGCCCCGTGGCATAGTGGTTAAGTGCGTGCGCTCCACTGCTGGCTGCCCGGGTTCGGATCCCGGGCACACACCAATGCACTGCTTGTCAGGCCATGCTGTGGCGGCGTCCCATATAAAGTGGAGGAAGATAGGCACAGATGTTAGCCCAGGGCCAGTCTTCCTCAGCAAAAAGAGGAGGACTGGCATGGATGTTAGCTCAGGGCTGACCTTCCTCACAAAAAAAAAAAAAAAAAAAAAAAAGACAAGAGAAGGGGCTAATTCCATGATGTGGTGATTATGTTTGCGTGGTCCTTTTCAGCAGCCTGTGTTCACGGGTTCAGATCCTGGGCATGGAACTTCACCACTCATCAGCCATGCTGTGTGGTCGAACCACATACCAAGTCGAGGAAAATTAGCACAGATGTTATTTCAAGGCTAATATTCCTCAGGCCAAAAAAAAAAAGAAAAAGATTGCCATGTTAGCTCAGGGGGAATCTGCCTCAAAAAACAAAACAAAAAAAAAGCCAGACAAGAGATACTAATTGTTGTTGAGGATGTGAAGAAAACAGAACATTTTTATACTGTTGTTGGGAATGTAAATTGATACAGCCATGATGGAAAAGAGGATGCACGTTTCTCAAAAAATTAAAAATAGAATTACCTTATGATCCTCCAATCTCATTTCTGAGCATATAGTCAAAGGAAATGAAATCACCATCTTGAAGAGGTATCTGCGTTCCCTTGTTCGTCGTGGCATTATTCACAACAGCCAAGACGTGAAATCAACCTAAGTGACTGTCAGCTGCTCAACACATAACAAAATATTGTGTGTAGATATGTGTATACACGTAAATATTTTCAGGCTTAAAAAAGAAGGAAATCCTACCACTCAAAACAACATGGTTGAAACTGGAGGACAGTAGGCTGAGTGAAATAACCCAGAGACAGAAAGACAAACACTCTGTGATCTCACTTAAATGTAGAATCGATAAACATCATTCTCATAAAATCAGAGAAGAGAATGGTGGTTGCAGGGGTTGGGGCATGAGGGAAATGGGGAGATTTTGGTCAAAGGGTATGAAGTTTCAGCTGAGTTGGATGAATAACTTCTGGAAATCTAATTACAGCATGGTGACGATAGTTAATAATACTGTATTGATACTTGAAATTTGCTAAGAGAGTACCTGAAGTGTTCTCACCAACACAAACAAAAGCTAATTGTGTGTGGTGATGGATATGTGGTAACCATTTCACAATGTATACATATATCTAAACACTGCTTTGTACACTGTAAATATATACAATTTCTCTTGGTCTATTATAACTCAATAAAGCTGGAAAAAAATTGAAACAAAAAAAGTCTGTAAATGCAATGATCGTTTTTCTCCTACCATAATGAAACTATCGCTTCCTCAGAAAGAACTTTCCTGGTTACTCTTTCTAGTGTCCCATACCCGCCATGACTACCACCAGCCATTCTCTAGCCCATTAACTTACATATAGCTTCTGTACATATAGCTTCTAACAACATATGAAAATATTTTGATTGATTATTTATATGTTCAGTTGTGTCCCACCCTATAAGTTTAACCACATGAGAGGAAGGAGTTCATCTCTCTTGTTTACCACCGCTAAAACAGGACCTGCCCATCATAGGCACTTTATAAACATGTGTTGAATAAAATGATAACAAATTGCTATATATATAGAGATATATATGTATATACACACACACACAAACACACACAAATACATAGGCATGTACATATATTCATGTATGTGTATAAATTGAAACTCTTAAATCTCAGTGTGTGCCCATTGGAGTAGTGGTTGCTCTACCCATATTATATCCAGTAATTATCACGGGAATATGAGCCAGGTTATATTATCATTATTTTACTGAAGATAAATATGAGGTACAGAGAAATTTTGTGCTACGTCCATGGTCACTCGAGTAACAACTGAGAGAAATGTAACTTTCGAGATGAAAACTCAAGGTTGCCTGATTAAAAATCCACATTCCTCACCACCATACTATATTTCCTAATATCAACACTTAGTCTCTTTTCACCATATCACATCTGAATTGGAAGCAGACAGTACATGAACTTATTGGGTCTCATTTTATTTAATTTATTTTTGCTCTGTAATAAATCAAATGTATTTAACGACCATTCAGCAAATACCATCTATTGCACAATCACATATATGGCACTGGATACAAATTTGATGAGGATATAACCCTGCCCTGTAGGAGAGAGAATGAGAGAGAGGGAAGAAAAGGAGAGAGAGAGAGAGAAAATATATCTTGAATCTAATCCATGATGTGATTTTTTACTCTGTGTGTGTTATACTAATAATGGTTTGTGCACATAAAAGGACCTACTGTGCTGTTTGAAGGTATTTTCTATGGGTTAAGGAAAGCAGGAAAAGGAAAGGGAGGGAAAAGCCATACATCTCAACTTTCTGAAGGTAAAAACAACCTTGTGTTCCCAAAGGCAGGAAAAGAAATTCAAACAAGTGGGAAGAGTATTGGCCAGGGAAGCAGAAATATGCAGTCTGCATGGAGGCTTCACTTCAGCAATATCTATTTGCCCTTCTTCCCAATCTTATTTACCACCTTCATTTCCTTTCCCAAAAGCCCGGAAGCTGGGTGAAAACCATTCAAGTGCTATTCACTCCTTAAATGCATGATATATTTATTTAGCTTCTGCTATTGTTGATAAAGAGTCAGCGAAGTGAGTTGTTGAGTTCTTGGGGGATAATGAGAGCATAGTTCTGAATTTTATATTTATATATTAAAATCAGAGTTGGATTCTGGTACTTTCCCAAGTGGGGTTCTTGCATAACTGTCAATATAGGTTTCCTGGAACATTTGCTTTTGATATGCTGGTGGCATCAAATCTTCTGTGACTGGTGCAGGAGATGCTGTTTCTGCCATATCAGGATTTGATGGCTGAATGAGCACAACCTGTGGAATCAATCAGAATGCCATAGGTGAGCCAAGCAAATGAACTTGGGCTTTCCCTTTCCTGTCCAGACAGTGTCATCATGATCAAAGACTACCCTTTCTTCTCTGAATTCAGTCTCAACATCAATTTGATGGGGTTTCTCAGGCATTCTTTAGGAGAGGGTAAACCAAGGTGTCATGGAAAAGATAGAGCTGTTCTTCCAAACAGGTTGTTCATGCTGATGGCAACAGCATACCCAAATCATTGCTTTGCTGGCCATGACTAAAGCATTGCACAACCCACACTGACCCAGCATGGCAGGAGTCATTTAGGAAACTAAGGAAAATGCTGGTCCTTCCACCACAATTTCAATGTGAAATGCAGTGTGTGCAGACGGGTGACCCAGGAAGAAGTAAAGAAGTAGGCATTATATGCACCAAAGCCATTATTTTCCTTGATTCACAACTTCCAGCTCTATAACCAGTGCTATTAAGGGGAACAATATTTCCGAGCTCTGTAACTACTCTAGGGGCTGAAGAGAACACGGGCCTAGCTATTTTGACATCAACATCACTAAGAAGTTTGCTCTCTAGTTCAAATTCTTCACTTCATGAAATTACGAAATCACTGGGAATGGCTGAGAAACTCTAGCTTCTAGGGTCTTATAATGGAAGAGTCCACTAGTATAGTTAACGTGATTTAGTCAATCTCCCTCTGTGGGGAAGGGCTGTGGGGTAGGAGATGTGGTGTAGCATGGGATCCCCAAAAGAAAGTAAAGAGGCACAAAATGGAAGAGAAGAGCACCAGAATAATAATCTCATCAAACTCTTACTATTTTATGATTTAGTTTTGGTGTTTGACTGCCCCTGGCCTTTGGGTAATGAAACTAATGAGCATCTCTTGGACTTTTAATATCATTTTCTCACCCCGGAACCTTCAATTTTCTTGGAAGATATCCTTGTTCTAGTCTTCCTAGTGCCCCTTGGTGTCTTCTCTCCTCCCATTTCCCAGTCCTCTCCATGTGACATTCTTTCTGTTCCGCAACCAGGAGGATCTGCTGCACGTCTCAGAGTAAGAGAATGGGCAGGTGTGTGCACAGTGATAGAGAATTATGAAACCCTGACTTTCTTCAGCAGCCCAGGGAAGGCTGCAATAATAGGATAGTGGAGTATTATCTCGCACTGTCTGGGGACCTCTCCATTGTGAAGTATTCTGATCTGGGCTAACTCAGGATGCCCTTTGAGGGAGAAAGAGTGAAGGAAAATAGCTTTTCTTCATCCATTGTGGTAGGCAGAATTCTAAGACGACATTCGGTCAACCACGTGCCTGAATGATTCCCTATCCTGGAGTATGGGTGGGACCTCTGTATATGATAGGATATCAATTCTGTGAGCAGGTTACTAATCAGCTGACTTTGAGTTTATCAAAATGGACATTATTCTGAATACTTGATTTAATCATATGAACCCTGTAAAAAAGCCTTAATGCACCAGAGACTTTTGCTTTCCTGTAGGCTCCAAGGTAGAAGTAAGTTGTTGTGAGTTCCACAGCTGAGAGGAAATAAACTCTGCCTGTGAGCATGGAAGAGGACAGAGGCCTCACCTGAGACCACAGCCACAGCCAACAACTGGATTACAGCCTTATAAACCCTGAGCAGAGAACCCAGCTAAGCTGTGCCCACACTCTTGACCCACGGAAACTGAGAGATCATAAATGTGTGTTGTTTTATGCCTCTTTGTGTAATTTATTACACAGATATAGAAGATGAATGCAGATATCTTCAAGGGAAGCCTGATACTCACCTTATCAGGATTACCACAGGTTACTTTGCATCCAAAGACAGAGAGTGACACTGCAATGCAGAACTCTAGCACACTTAAAATGAGCACCATCCCATCCATACCCTAAGAACAAATTCATAACAAGGAAATGTGAGGACTAGACACAACAAGTTCAAAACATTGACCACTGATTACAGTACCAAAAGAGCAGAAGCATTGGCCAGAGGTCAGAAAAACTGGCTCCTAATTGCAGCCATACCCTGATCTAGTTCTTAGCCTGCTGAAAGTCACTTATCTTCTCACTTTATTTCACTAAGAAAATAATCATTTTTTCCCTACCCTCAACTTTATATTGCTATTGTCCATACAGAATACAGAAATGCTATAAACGGGGGGCAGGGATCATAAAGTTAATTATCAACTTCGTTTTTCAAAACAGGAATTTCATATAGATGACATAAGAATATGATCTCATAACTTAGTAAGTGAAGGCAGAATAATAATAGACCAAAGAGGTCCAAATCCTTATTCTGAGAACCTGTCAAGTTACATGGCAAAGGAGAATTAAGTTTGCAGAAGGGAATAAGTTTTAAGGTGACCAGGAGACTGAGGGATTATCCTGGGTTATCCAATGAGCCCAAAATAATTACAGGACCCTTATAAGTGGAAGGAAGAATTAGAAATCTCAAGGGAAGTAAATTATTTTAGCAAAAACACTGAAGGGTTTTTTTAGTGTGAGTATATAGCACTCAAGATTCTCCTAGGATTAGCTAAGAATGAAGAAAAGGTAATGTGATTGATCTGCATAAGAACTTAGGAAGCATGCAGAGTTTCCAGATTTGGGTGAGGAAAGGAGACAATGAGAGAAAGAACTAAGCAGCACAGTGAAAGGCTGTAAGCTCAAATGGAAGGGAGATAACAGAAAACTGAGTGGTATTGAGAATGGCTACGAGACTTTTTAGTAATAAAGATTTCATTGCATTTTGGTCTGCTATGGGTGCAGCAATAACTCTTCCTCCCCACACTCAATCAAAACTTCAAAAAGTTTAACTACCTACAAAATCTTGTGTAAGTGGTTATTTGGAGAGTAAAGCAATTAGGATAATGCATAGATGAGGGCAAGTGGCACAGAAAAGTAGTAAAGGACGGAATAGAGTTTGAGAACTTGCCAGGAGCTGGACGTTGATGCCCAAAGTGCTTAATCCTGCAAGAACATCCAGCGATGTTGGGAGGGATACTGGGTTAGTCACCATTTGTCAGACAATGTTCGAGACAATTTTACTTTATTATTAGAGAACCAGGTAACTGCATCAGGCTCCATCAAGAAGTCCTGGGACATATAGAGACTGACACGTGGGCTCTATTTTTGGAGTGGATAGCAACACAAGCTTACCGGAGTTTTGAAATGAAACAGGAAAAATTATGCAAAATGCTTGGCACACTAATTATTACAGAGTAAGTGTCTTATAACTAGGAGCTTTCTTCCCACTTTCCCTCATCACATTTGGAGAAGGAACAAAGAGAGAGATGAGATGTGGGTCTGACTCCTAAATAAAAGATTGCCCTAATTGTCACTCACTTCTAACTTCCCAAAGTGATTCATCAATTAGGGGATACTGATTGTTGCTTTTGCCAGAACCAGGGCTCTTGTGACTTGCTTCCACCACAATATCCCATGAAAAGAGGAAGCACTAACCATTAACACAGATACAAGCAGGGAACAATTCTCCAACTCCTCAAAATTTATACACATATAGTAACGGAATGAAAAAAAAACAAGGCTGAACATAGTGACGAAGATCCCTGCTGCAGCAAAGACAGAGCTGGTGATGTTCACTCCTAGGCTACCTTGGACCTAGAAAAAAAGAAAAATCAATTAAAGAATCCAACAACATCCTCAGACACGTCTCCATCAACCACCTTAGACCCACCACTTCTTGTTCAACCCAGTTCATCTTCTCTATCTTGATTATTGCAATGGTCTCCTAACTTGTCTCTTTCCTCAGAGTAGTTTCAACACTAATCTCCTGCCCAAACACAAAAAGAAGACCCTGATAACCAAGCCTAAAACCCTCAAAAGAACCCCAAGGGCAAAAGAAAACAAACCCCATCCCCCTAAAACAGCGCTCGCAACACTCCACACACTAGAGCGACACACCCCTGTCTGTCCCCATCCCACAACATGCTCTGCCACAGGCCTCACACCTCACAATATTCTAAAAGCGCCGCGCCCCTCACACCCCTCCGCCCCCTATATATAATATCTCCCTGCGGTGTATACCCCGTCCCACACACTCTCCCCCCAAGGAAAGTAAGGAAGCCTTTTAAAAAAAACAAAAATCCCCAAAAAAAGAAGAAAAGGGGGCCGGAACAACAAGGAAAATTTAAACCGTAAGGTGAAAACCGGAAGAAAAGCCCGGGAAAAAAAATGAAGGCAAAACTGGAAAAACCAAAACGAACAACCCCAAAACTTGAAAATTAACCTTGAAGGAAAAAAAACCAAAAGCGGGCCTTAACCAAGAAAAAAAATTGGTGGAAACCGGGACTTTGCCCTTCAATGGCCTTGGGAAAAAAAAAATGGCAAGAAAACCTTGGTTTAAAATTGCCTACTCCTAATTAAAAGACCTAATCCGAAATTCCTTCCATGCAAAACGAAACAAAAACCCTTCAGGCAAAAAATTGCAACAGGAAATATCATCAACAAGAAAACAAAAAAGAGGACGCCACACCATTTGGGCCATCGACAAGGGGGGACGGAACCCAAAGTGGAAGAGTTCGAAGAACCAACGCATGGAAAGTACCTTCCAAGAAATCTCCGAAATTTCCAAAAGAATACCCCCACAAACAACCTCCCAAAAGGTCCACCCCAACACCGGAAATCCAATAACAACCAAATTTTTCCTGCAAAGGTTGAAAAAACGAACCAAACAAGGAAAAACTAAAAACCCCCCCGAATTTTTTTTGCAAACAAACACCATTTGTTTTCCATTCTGGCAGAATACATACGTGGTTAATCCTGCTTCTTTTGGAACACAACAGCGGAAATGTTACTCACCAGGCCCCTTGCAGTGCTGGTTCCTGCTGCAATTGACAAGGACCCTGAAATAAGAAACTAATAACAAGAGAAAAAATACAGGTAAAAATATTTAAACAAATATTGGAAGTCATAACTTACTAGAACTTATCCCAAAATATGATAAATATGTTCAACAGACCAATTATATTGGAAGAAACACAAAAGTTTGTAAATAACTGTCCCCTTTGACCAGAAACAACAGAGAAATTCTACCGGATGGATTCACAGGAGAATTTATCAAGCCTTTCAGAAATTGTCTAACTGTGATGGTATTTAAAGTGTTTAGGGGATTGAAATATAAAGAAAGCTTCTCAATTCAAGATATGGAGTAACTCTAATATGGCGCCAAAATTTAGTAAGGTATTACAAAAGAAAAAATCAAATGATTATTTTCATTTAAAATGACTATTAAAATTTGTAAATAAAATAGTAGCAAACAAAATTTTTAAATTCTGTATTATATGATGATTAGAATATGCTATTTCATTTGACTTCATCCATTGGGTAATTATTTTCCATTTAGCTAAAATGACTATAGTGAAGTCGATTGGACTCCCTGCCTTTAACTATTTAACTGTTTGAGATTCTAGGTTTGCTTTCCAAATTTGATTTCAGAAGTTTTAAAAAGTCTATCTTAATACCAAAAAATGACTGATCTAATGAAAGAATTTGATCAATTTCTTCAACAAATTTTTAAATACCAAGACACAGAGATGATTAATGTAAACTAAGTCTCCTCTGGGAAAAAAATAGCAGGGAGACTCCCCCATCATATTATATGAAATGAATCATGAATGTGTGGAGTATCTCTTCAAATGTCTAGATATTTTGACATTAAAATATTATTATAATTTATGAAATTAATGGATATAAGGAGAAAACACGTATGGTAATTGCTATTCACATTTTCAATGTTGATAAGACATTTAATAGAATTAAACATTATTATTGACAAACATTATTTATAAAACCTGAAGAGTTGAATTTTTTGAATGTAACAGAACATCTGTCTCAGTCTAAAAGTTCTTCATGTTTAATGGGGAAAACAATAGGCCCATCTCATAAAGTCAAAATCAAGATTAAGATGTATTATGTATTAGCATTCTTAGTATATTAAGCAAAAGATTATACAAGAAAAATATTTGAAGTAAATGGTTAAAATTACTGTTGTTTAAATATGAATGTTATATTGCAAACATCCAAGATTCTCAACTAAACACTACTGTAAACTCTAAGTAAATTCAGTGAGGCACATCATTATATACAGAAGTGATATATACATATTATAAATATGTGTGTGTTTTTGTGTTTGAAGAGAGGATTTATTAAGACAACTTCATTTACCACAGCAAAAATATATATAAAATTTCTGAGAGAAAAAACTTAACGAGGAATGCGAAAGATGTATAGAAGTAAAACTTTAAAATGTTCTAAAAGTACATAAAAGAAAACTTGAATAAACTAACGTGGGGATAATTTTGTAGGATTCTCATAAAGAACATGTAGCTCTACTGGAGATGAAAGGGCCAAAAATAAGAGAAATTTGTGAATGGTTCTCCGTGTTGGATTTTGTACTGTATAAGGTACTTCACAGGGGAAGTTTGGCATAAGGTTGCAAGAATAACTGAAGGTAGCAGCAAAAAATGTTCCACCAATTAAGCAAAGCTCATCTAGTGGGATTCCTACAATAGTCTAAGGGATGCATCAATTGACAAACACAGCTCCTGCAGTTCCTGGTAATCTATTGAACACGTGTAAAAGTATAAATAACAAAAACTGGTTTTCAAAGTGGTCTTGAAAAGGAAATGAAAGGGGAAACATAAAACTAGAGTGGTTAGATGCCTGAAATACTGAAATTAGACTGATCCTATTTGTTCCCTGATTCACGTGCCAAAAAACTGTGTGATTTTGGGCAAGTTACTTAATCTCTCTATGTCCCATTTTTTTCATCCATAAAGTGAGGACAATGACAAATCCTTTCTCAGAAGTTTGTGTTGATTGTTTGAAATGGAATTGCACATAGAAACCAATTAGGAGAGGGCCTAGATTATAGTAAGAGTTTAATAAAAGCTACCATTGGCATCCGTATGATCAGATATGTAAAACATTGGACAACTACCCAGCCAGAAATAGAACAGCATTTGCTATTCTTCAAAGCTTGCATTTTTTCTATAAACAGGCATGGGGGCACAAAAAGCCAGCTCATTATAGACTTTACACTCTACACTATCTCATTCTCAACTTTGTAGATCAATGGAACTCTACAACAACTGAATAGATTCCCTGATTCTAACACAAACCCAGTTTATAAATGTCTTTTCCTCTTGTCAGTAGATAAAACTTGATACTTTATACTCCATTTACACTCTCAATTTGCAGAGAAACTCTCTTGTATTTTGTTCTGGGGAAATATTTTTAAATTTTCCTAAATTTAATTTAACTTTAATTATATTTATTGGTATTGAGCTTCAGATACAAAATTTAACTAACAGCAATTGCATTTGCTAAGCTAACCATTTGCTAAGATTTGATAGTTGACTCTAAATTGCCTGCATACCAGCCATGTCTCCTCTTCTTCATTGCTAACAAAATCCTCATTTTGCTCAGTGTCCCATGAGCTTCCATGAACCCTTCCCAGCCATAGAGGTGACTCTTGATTAGTCCAAGCCAATAATGGCAAATCCATGACCTTTTCCCATAGTTGGCTTGGGAACATGAAACATTTATGCATTACAAAACATTTATGAACAATAAATGTGCTAACAAGTCTGATATGGTATGGCGGAAATCCTCAGTGAGGTTACCTCAACGAAGTAACTCCAGAATTAACCAACCCTGGAAATGTTTGGGCAGCAGGCTTCTTCTTGTGAAATAATCAATGCTTTCACTGTTTAATCCATTCTGGTTTGGATTTTTTGCTACATGCTGCTCTAATATCTCCTAACTGATACACATTATCTGTACAAATTGCCTAGCTTTCTATGAGTTTTACATTATTATTGCTACTTTAACTATGAGAAAATTGAGTAAAAAGAGGTTAAAGATCTTTCCCAAAATTATAGAACTACAGGATAGCGTTAGGCTATGATTCCTAAACTCAGGATATTAACAACCATGTCATGTTGTCTCCAACTATATCAGACGATATTCTGCTCACCATTACCGAGCCCCAAATTGTGTATGCTGCGTACACTGATAAGGGACAGTAATAATAAATTCCACCAGATGACACCATGAGACTAATCATTATCATCCCCAAGCTGAAGTTCATTAAGGCAATGAGGATCTGCACAACCTAGAAAAAATGAAGAAAGTAAAAACTGATTATCTACCACAAAAGTGGCTCCCAAGCCACCCTGTTCCAACCACAATGTTACCCTTCTCTATCTTTTGAAACTGTCAGATGGTCTTCTTGATATTCTCCTGTCACTTTTCTTTCATATAAAGAACTGTGGATATATGAACTTACTAAAATTATCTCTTGGTATAGCTATCACAATTGCCTCTGTAATTTCAAGATAAAAAAGAGTTTACCCAGACCTACCCAAAACTGCCTTATGATACCTACCAAAGATGCTACTCCTACCACAACTGTTGCTCTCCTTCACACATGCTCAGACAGAAGTGATCCAGAAATTACAAAGCAAATACTCTAACAAGGAGAAGTAATCTAAGGAAGGAGAGCATGTACAAGGGGAGACAAAGAGAAACACAATGTGCCATCTTCCTGGGGTCTGGGGCGTGAGGACATGAGTGAACACAGGGGTCTAAAATAGAGAAAGTGGAGTACATTACCCCATGGCATTCAAAAGGATACAAAGTGTCATAATGACTTTGTCCCATTGGTTTAAAGCTTGGGCCAGAGGTAAACCTCTGTATTCACTGTCCTTCCACCTGCACTAACCTGTCTTTTTTTAAACTGCCCATTTCTTTTGCACATTGACGTGAGACTCCAGACATAAATGCAGAGAGGATAGAAGAAGGCTAACAAAATTGCCCAGAGTGAGATAGTAACAATATGGGGCCATCAGCTATCAGAAAGTTCTGTGGATGGGACACCAATTGGTGCAGATGTGGCCTTTTTTTTTTGTCTTTCCTCTTCCATGCTGAAGTTAAATATAGTTACCATGGATGACTCACAAGCCTAGAGTAGATCTGAAGTCACTATATTTTAAATACCACTAAATCAGAAGCATGATGTAATAGAATATTGTATCATTTTTCAAGTGATAGGGCCTGCACACCAAATACTGATGTTCCTAGGGCTGGCTGATGTAATATGAGGCTAGTGGGACAGAGTATTTGGTGTTAGATCTGATCCGTTGTGGTTCTACAACATGATTGGTCTTCTCCCAGATCTCAACTGACTTACCCCCAGAACTTTGGGTTCCCCCTTCAAGAATTTCTCTGGCTTCCCTTTCCACATATATGCATTTAGAGTAGTATGTTGTCCCAGCTCGTACACAACAGGGCCAGCCCTTGGTGTGGTCTGTTCCATTCGTTGCACGGTTGTCATGGCAACAGAAAAGGTGCTACAATAAGAAATGTAATTTAGTAAGAGATCCTGGAAATGATAGAACAACCTCTCGTCTACATGCCTTTCCCTAATATAACAGCTATTAGAACATCTTCGCAAAATATAATTCTTTCAAAGACCAGCTGGCAAAGTAGAACAAGGAGAGAGAAAGAGAAAGATATTGAGAGAAATGTCATGTGACTTCAAGATGCTAGAAAGTATGGAAGAGAGGGACATGTGGATAGAATTGAGGTGAATATGCTGGCCTCTCAAATTAAGGAAATGTCTTCACGTTCATATATCAAGAGTGCACTCAGGTTTTATCTCTATCCCAATTACTGCATATTCCCTTGATTTCAGCCATTTCTCCTTTGAAAGATGACTTTTTTTAATAGTAATAACATGCACAGAATGCTCTGCATTCCAATTTACTGCATTTTGTAGTCTTTCTTTCTAATCAGGGCACAGTGACATTCTCAGAGCTGGAAACTTTGCCCACGTCCATCTTTACTAAATACAATTTATGTAATCTTAGATTTCACCCTATAACCGCTGGAATTTGGGGATGGAATTTATCATTTTGAGTCATATACCTGGCACAAAAAATTTAAATCTCTTGTCTCATTAAAATGCTTTAAATCCTGACTTGGCAATGCCTAGCAAGGACATATAAAATTATCTTTCTGAGACTGAAAGCAGAAATATGATACTCTTATGTTGCTTTCTCTCCTCAATATAGTAACCCCAATCAGGGTTTGTGGATATAGGTTTAAGTCACATGAACGTTTTTATCTACTTATGTGAATCCATATTAAGATGTCGTATGACTCACTTTCATAAATTTTGAGGGAAGTAAAACTTGGTAAGACTCTGCCAAGCCACTATCAATTCTGATACCACTGATGCTTTTTGGGGGCTCTGTAAAAATGTCAAGTTTGGAGAAGTGTACCCTTTTATTGGCAGCAAAAAGTAAAAGAATGTTCTAGTAGCACAAATTTTCTATGTACTGGAAAAGAATTCAGATTTCTCTGGAAAGGATTATTAACCTATATTTATATATAGTATGCCAAAGGAACTACATTATTGGTTATCTATGAATAAACCTGGTGGAAATCAGAAAAAAATGAGTCAATTTTAAAGATAGATAGAGAAAATAGTCCAAATGAAAATAAAAGATTAATCATTTAAAACATAAATTTAATTTTAGTTATGTATACATTCCAAGTTCTGGAAAGCAGTAAAATGAAAAGCACCAAATAGAAAATCATAAAATAATAAGGAAATTAAAGTTACAAAAATAAGAAGACAGAAATTTATAATTCATAATTCATAAGCAGTACATAATGTGAAGGATATTAAAATAGGTAAGATCTGAAAGTAAATAGGGACATAACCAAAAAGTCAATGTTTCTTCTTCTAGTCTAGAAAATTTCCTAAATCAATATGGAGAAAGAAATTTGGAACTCCATTTTGAAACTGGAAACAAGTACAATCCCCATAACTCAGCTGAAATGACTGTTAAAAACTACAAAGATAGGATAAGGATGAATTTCGGGGAAATGTAGAGAGTATGAAGGACACAGGACACTATGGCCATAGATTTTCAGCGTACACTTCTCAAAGATAAGAGGCTCACTGATGTCTAAAACATATATTATTGTTTATAACCTGGGAATGAATACACCAGTTGATAGCTGTAGCTTCCCTGGACAAGTATAGTTCTGAGAAGTCAAAGGCAGTAATAAAAGAGAAATCACATCAAAAAGCTACTTTTGTAGAAAGCCATCTGTCTCTGAAGAAATCTTACGTGGGAGCCCACAGAGAAGGAAGCAAGCATTCTTGACGTAAGTCTCCAAGAAATCCCACAGATTAGGATCATCTGAATGTAACATCACCATCTCAGATCACCAAATGCGCAAAAACCAAGAAACCATGAGATTTAGCTATGAGAAACACCAAGTGCTTCAGATATTAGCATAATGAAATACAGAATATGTACTAAATATGGATAAAATATTGAAATAAAAAATGGAATCACAAAAGTGAGAAAGCACAGAAAGTGCAAAAAGTAACATGACAAATTTCAAATGAGAAAAAAGATAATGTTGACATTTAAAAAAAATTGGTCAGTGTCTGAAATAGAAGGAATAGCCGAATAGAGAATTAATGAACTAATTTCTGAAGAAATCACCCAGAAGCCATACAGAGAGACAAGGAAATGGTCATAATAGAATACAGGTTAAAAGATTAGAAGTAAAGAATTAAAAGTTCTAGAACATGTATAATTATAGTTCCAGAAAGAGAGAAGATAATAAATGCAGGATAGGCAAAATTGGCAACATTTGGAATGATGATAACTATATATTTTCTTTGATGAAATACTTAAACGCACGCACACATGTTATATAACACACAAAACAGTGTCTTTAAGAAATCTATATTGAAACAGATTGTAGTGAATTTATAAGATAGCAAAGAACAAAGATGATCTTTCAAGTAGTAGAACAGAAAAGGTAGATCACATGCAAAGTAATGGCAATTAGACTGATAGCAATTCAAGCCAGAAAACAACAGAAAAACATTTTCAAACAACGATACACGTAGAATATTTTTTATGCACCAGCACTGTACTGGTAAATCAAGGGTAAAATAAAAACATTTTCAGAAAAGTAAATGTCTGACAGAGTTTACCAGCACAGATATTTACGAAATAGAACTTCTAAATGATGTACTTCAAAAGTAAAGCTTATAAAACCCATGATGATGTTCTATGATACAAGAAGGAATGGTGAGCAAAGAAACTGGTGAACCTGCATGAACACACAGTTTGCACAAAATAAGAATAACAATATCTAATTTATTAGGTTAAACATGAGGGCAAAGTATGAAATACTAGACCCCCAGAAAGCAAAATTTGGGATTGCATTGATGAGAATTGGTCTTCTAATGTCCTTGTGCTCTTTGGGATATGGGTGAAGGGAGTAACTCTAGATTTTGAGCAAGAATGAAAAAAATCAAGAGTTACCAATAAAGATAAGAAATGGGTCGTGTGATTTTTCAGTGAAGAGAGGAAAATGTATGAGAAAACGAATGAATAATAATTAACAAGTAAATGTAATCCGTTAACTAAAAAGCAAGAGAAGAGATAAAACAAGCAGAAAAATAAGTGTGACCAACAGAAATAGAAAATATGGTAGAGAGAAAAGCACCTCCAGAATTATCGAGCGAGGGCATGAAAATCTACGCCTCATTAAAAGTAATGAGAACACTGGACAACTTGTCAAAATCAACTTTTTCAGAACTCTGGACATTAACCAAGATCTTGCAACAATCCCAGGAGCATTTATTCCAAGAAGATGGCTGAATCTAAGTAACAATATTGAGCTTTGTCATTTTTACTTGTGGTAAAATATTCACAGCCTACAATTTACAATTTTAACCATTTTTAAGTGTGTAGTTCCATAGCTTTAAGTACATTTACATTGTTGTGCAAACATTCCCACCTCCATCTCCAAAACTTTTTCAACTTCCTTGGCTAACACTGTACCCATTACATCCTAACTCCACATGTCCACCTCTCCCCAGATCTTGGCAACCACCATTCTACTTTCTGTCTCTATGAATTTAACTACTCTAGGAACCTCATATAAGTGGAATCATACAATATTTATTCTTTTGTGACTGCCTTATTTCACTCAACAAAATGGCTTCAAAGTTCACCCATGTTTTAGCTATGTGTGAAAATTTCTTTTCTTTTTAAGGCTGAATAACGTTCCATTGTATGTATAAACCACATATGTGTATCTAATCATCAGTCAATAGACACTTAGTTTGCATCCACCTTTTGGCTATTGTGAATAACATTGCTATGTACATGGGTATACAATTATCTGTTCAAGTCCCTGCTCTCACTTTTTTGGGGTATATATCCAGAAGTGGAAATGTTGGATCATATTACCAGAAGGGAATTCTAAGATTAACTTTTTAGAAGTCACCATGCTGTTTTCCACAGTGTTGGCACTATTTTACGTTCCCCCCAGCAATGCACAAGGGCTCCAATTTCTCCACATCCTTGCCCAACTTCTTAGTGTCTGGGTTTTTTTTTGTTTTGTTTTGGATTTTTTTTTTTTTTTTTGACAATAGCCTTCCCAACGGGTGTGAAGTGGTATCTCATTGTGGGTTTGATTTACAGTTTCCTAATGGCTAGTAATGTTGAGCATCTTTTCATGTGATTCTTGGCCATTTGTATATCTTAACTGGAGAAATGTCTGTTCAAGTATTTTGTCCATTTTTGAATCAGGTTTTTGTTTTGTTGTTGTTGAGTTCTTTATGTATTCTGGATGTCAATTCCTGATCAGATACATGCTCTGCAAATATTTTCTCCATTCCATGGGTTGTCTTTTCCCTCTGCTGACAGTCTCCTTTTATGAACAAAAGTTTTTAGTTTTGATGATGTTCAACTTATCTATTTTTTGTTGTTGTTGCCTGTGCTTTTGGTGTCATTTGCAAGAAATCATTGTCAAACTTAATGTCATGAAAATTTCAATCTATGTTTTTTTCTGAGAATTTTATAATTTAGCTCTTACTATTGGATCTTTGATCTATTCTGAATTAATTTTTGCATGTATACGATGTAAGGTAAGGATCCAACTTCATTTTTTTGCTTACGGATATCCAGTTTTCCCAACACTATTTGTTGAAAAGACTGTCCTCTCTCCATTTACAGGTCTTGGCACCCTTGTTGAATATCATTTGACCATATAGGTGAGGGTTTATTTCTGGGCTATTTCATTCCACTGACCTATAGGTCTATTTCAATGCTAGTACCACACTGTTTTGATTACCATGATTTTGTTGTTAGTTTTTAAATCAGGAAGTGTGACACCTCCAAATTTATTTTTATTTTTCAAGATTGTTTTGGCTATTCGGATTCCCTTGAGATTCCATATGAATTTTAGGATGGATTTTTCTATTTCTTCAAAAAATATATATCACTGGAATTTTCATAGGTA